AGCACCAGCAGCAGTAGTGGTAGTGGTGCGGATACTACGAAATTACGCAAGTAACATGAAGATGGAAACAACGAAACAAGAAAAATGTAAGTAAGCCCCAGACGCTACATTATACATCCCGCGCCGAACAACTATGGACCCTAAACCCAAAATCCATGGCTTAATTTATGCAGGGGCCTTCATGACAGACTGGGGGTGTGGGATAGGATGTACGACTGTATGCCTACACCAAGCTAGCCGTGCTAACATGTAAAATCCCCAACACCGCCCAATTCCTTAAAACAGGAATCCCAAACCCATGGTCCATTTTCCACATAAACCCGAGACCTACAGATTGGAAACCCGACAACCCCAAAGCCAAACACAAGTTCTAGAGCTAAGAGTAGGCCCTCTCCTCTAGCAACTCTTGGGTTAGAGACCCTTGTTTCCACAGGCTAGGTTGGAGCTCGCATGGCAATAAACGCTAAACCCTAAACCCTGAAGTAAGCTTTCAAGAAATCGTTACTGGGACTTTCCGTTTTCAAAGGAGCCCTCGAAAGGATCATTTTTGCCATCTCAAACCCAAACCCCCAAACCCTAAACCAAAATCGCGAAGCCCTGAAGTAGCCCTTAAACGGTTAATTTTTTTGCCACCCGGCGGCCAGTGCAAGCGCTCCTCGGGGTTCTTCAAACCGCCTTGCTCCAGGAGATCGGCCAGGCGGCCATCGCCTCAAGCGCTTGGGGCTCATCCCACGGGTTGGTGTATGGGCCTGTTGAGGCTTGTGATCATAAGCAGTTAGATAAATAAACAAATAACTGTTTATATATATATATACACACACCTGTAACTGTATATAGGGCCCAAGTGGTGCATTTCACCGGACAAGAACTTCGCCTTCATGACATGCTGTGGCATTGTACTGTGCTGCATATACATGTGGGCGGACAACCTTGGTGATGACGTACATCTTCAAGTCTTGGAGCACTTGTGGCCAGGGAATGGCGCCTGACGCGTAGAATTGTTTAATAACCTGTGAGGCTGTGTCTTTCCCTGCAAGAGGTAAAGGAGAGCCTGGTCGCCACACTACCGGACGACCCTTCTGCCCTGACCTCACTGTTATGGCGCGAGTTGAGGGCCGCCGCCGGAGCCGGCAGCATCTGGCAGCCCTTTAATGCCGCCATGTTGAAACCGGGCCGGCCCCTGTGGTGATGTGAAGGCTAGCCCGATGTGGGGCCGTGATCAACGACCCAAGTGCATTGGACTCGGCATCGCAAGACAGTGTCGAGTGAGCACTGTTCCCGACGTGATGTCGCAGTGTGGAGCTTAAAGTGCCCCATTTCACTTTGGTGTTAAACGCTCGCGCTTTCGCCGTTGTGGTGCGGGTTTCCCATCATCCCGCATACACGAAGTCACTGTGCGGGACCGGCGGCTTGGTAGTACACGAATCATCTCTCTTTCCGAGTTTAAATCTTTGCATTGTCGAATCCTGTGCTGTGGAAGCGAATCGCCACGGCACTTCATGCTTGCCACACCGCGCTAGATAGCCCAATGCAGCACCATGGTATGTGTTTTCCGCTCTGCCGTCGTTGACGAGGCAGCGCGAAATCACAATGACCGTGCTGAGTGAAGTAGTTAGTTCGGTTTGTGGCAGGATGTGGCTTAACATGGCTTTACCGCTTACTTTTTTTTGCGAGCTGCTGTGCAGCTGGCAGGGTCTACGGAGGTTTGCCGTCGCTGCCTAAACCCTGACGCGCCAGATTTCTGCTCAGCTTGTGTCTAACACCGGCTAGTGCATGCTGGCAGTCAGAGGTTTCGTTTGCAATTTAATTAAGCCGCGAACTCCTCTGAATGCTTGGAAATGGATATATATATATATATTGTAGATACTGCTACAGATACATGTAGGCACATACACATACGTACATACAAACAAATAAACACATAGTATATAAACACACATAAACACATACAGATTCACATAATACGTTGTATGTATGTGTATATATATATGTGTGTATATATATATATAAATACACGCGTACGTCGGCGTACGTATGTATATTTTAAAATATGTATGTATTTATTTGTGGACATACATATATATATATACATACACACAAAAGCATGTGTATGCATGATTCACCCCAAAGGCACCCCATATGTATTGCGATGGAGGGGTATGGTGCTTGGCCGGACCGTGGGTCTTAGTAAGCCGGGTCATGCTTCTGGAAACAAGTTGCCTAAGTGGGATTATCCTAATCTAAGGTTACAACCTTCCCTACAACCCTGCTTGTTAACTCCCATGAGCCCTTAGGTACCCTCAAGCCCTTCACTCTAGGACCCACAAGGAATGGAGGTCCAGGTTGACGCCCAGTGTCTCAAAGGCAGAAGGGGACCCGTGACATCCAGGAGTGCCAGAACCTGCGAAGCTTTTTGAGCTCTACAAGGGTTAGTAGAGAGGGTAACAAAAATAAAAAAGTTCTACAAGCTTTTCCACAAGGGCACTAGGAGTGGAGTTTTGTGCGGCTTCTGCCCTAGAAGTCAGATTCGGGATCCTCTTGTAACTGCCATCTTCATTGAACACTGAGTGTTTGGGAGTTTTTTTATCTGGGATTGTGCACGCACCGGAGTTTTCCAGCTTGGCAAACATACCGATGATGTCGCTCCCAACCTCGCCTCCCCCAACTACTCTCATGAGGTGGCGCAAAGCTATACTTGCTTAAGTCCGGCAGGGGTAACTCACACAAATCAGTACTTTCGCGGCAAGGTGCCACGGCAAATTGGATTCAAAGGCACATCAAAAGCACAGAGTCATCCGCCATAGTCACATGTTAGCTTGTTCGCAGGCAGCTTCCAGGTACAAACAGGTTTACAGTAGCAGGAAATCCGCCGTTGGCGTTGGCCGCAGCAATTTCGTCGGGAGCATGCATGTGCGTGTGTGTATGTATGTATGTATGTATGTATGTATGTCTGTATGTATGTATGTATGTATGTATATATATATGTGTGTGTATATATATATATACATACAAGTCTTGGCGAGGCCCTCCGAAGATGGCTATTGGTCCTCTGCCGAATGTGGGTGATCAGGGGATGGCAAGATGCTGGAAGCCTGGAAGCGCCTTTGATTCTGCACACAAGCAGCAAGCACAGCACCGAGCATGCTGGACCCAAAATAGCTGCTTCGAGGTGCGAAAGGCCCCAAGCCCCAAACCCTAGTTCTGGGTCGACAGGAAAACCCTAAACCCTAAACCGTCTACTGTTGTTTCACTGTCTCGGTAAGCCCAGAACACACAAAGCCCTCCAACTCCACAACTCAAATCCCTGAGCCCTAAACCCCGGTACTGAAGCCGACTCGCAACGAACCACCCGAAAAAAACAAAAAAAACTGTGCGCATGGCTCTGAATTTCAAACCGTAGGTAAAAACCCAACTCCTGTCACCCTTGGCCCTAATATCAAACCCTGACACACGACAGTCTCAAAGACCCCTCCCTAATTTGCCCAACTTGGATGCCAGCACGAGCAGAAGACAAGGAATATCTAAGCTTTTAAACTTTTTGCTTGGTGCCTGTTGAAGCAATCCCGCATCCGTCTCGGGTGGCGATTTGTCAGCAAAGCGCTCGGCAGGGATTGGTCGCAGCGGCCTGCGCAGTGACTCAGGGCCAGCGAGCAAAGACTGGCAGGGAAAGAGAAAAAGACCCACCACCATCGCTTAATGGTTCTAGGGTTTAGGGTTTAGGGTTCTAGGGTTCTGCGTTTGGGTTGACGCAACCGGGTGAGGAGGGGGTCAACGTCCTCGAAAGCTTTGGATTTATGGGGGTCCTATTGCCCAATCCTCAACGCCGACACCTTACATGTCCCAGCACCCAGCAGAGCATAGGGTAGTATAGGATATGTGAACACACCAACCCAAGTACAAAACGCATACATACATAAAAACATACATGCATACGTACACACATACATACATACATACATACATACATACATACATGCATGCATGCATGCATGCATACATACATACATACATACATACATACATGCGCACATGTACGCTTGCATGCACACACACACACATATATATATATGTATACACATAAACATATGTATACGATGCTCGTGTGATCATAAGGACTCTTGAGACACATCGTAGGCGTACTAAGCGACTTCCAGCAAATGGAAGCGCTCCACACGCCCGATTCTCGGCGCTAGGCCACCCGTACCCTACATTGCACACCACATGAACCCGGGCAACCCGCCAATACATGTCGCGAAACACCGCTTCATGCAGGAAAAACCAAACACTGGCACAGCAGTCTTCACGGGCCACAGTTGGTCAAAGCTTCTACACAAGAAGCTGTGGACCCACTTTGGGGCCAAGAAACCAATTGCCACCATCTGCTGGCAGGCTCAACGATCCTCACACATCGCGGTGAGCTAAGTTTACGTGTTCTAAAACATGAGGCTTCTATAGAAGCTTTTCCCATGGGGATTTTTATACGGCTAAAGCTCCGAATCTGGAGACGCTTTGGCCTTCCTGCTTGGAGCCTTTGCCTTTGGAGCTGGCAGCCCGAGGTCCAGGGGCGAATGCCCCAGCTTTCGGGCTACATCCCAGGCTGTGGTGCCATCCTCCCAAAGGGACCGTTTAGGGTTCTCTTCTATAGGGTCGATAGAGTCTCGATTTTAGGGTGTAGGGTGGGGAGTACATGCCTGTACTATAAGAAGACTGTCTAGATGTAAGGGCCGCTGAGTGAGAATAGTCATCTGTCAGGGTTGCTGCTGACTGCTATACTGGTACAATGGTTACTGCAAGGCTTTCCGTCAGGATTACCTGGTCGTGACACGGCGACACATGTCTCGCTGCTTTACACTCGCGGGGTCCTTGGAGCGCACCTTCAGGTCCGCCTTCATGGCCGCAAGAAGCCGGACAGTCGCACGGTGGCCAGACTTGGCTGCGAAGTGCACGGCCGTGAAGCCCTGCGTGTCTGCATCGCCGACCGGAAGACGCTCCTCACGGACCAGAAGGTCCAAAATGTCCAGGTGGCCTGATCGATGATTCGCCAAAGATGTCAAGGATAATGTCCAAAACATCAATGACTAGGACGATGAGAAGAACGATGCTAATGGACATGTTAATGCTATTGATGACGCTGGTGGATGATGCTGATGACGATGACGATGATGATGGGAAGGGTAGGCAATCACGATATCGTTGGCAACGCACCAGTGTGGCAGTATGCCCGTGTTGTCAATCGTTTTATATCTGTGGGAGATGTCCGCGATGCGTGATGATGCTGGTCGTGGTGGTTATTATGGCGGCGGAGGCGGCGTTGTTGATACAGCTCTTGTTTCGTGGTGGAGGTTGTTGTTGTGATTTAGGGTTGCCCTTGGTTTTGTCGTTGCGGCAGAGGAACAATCGAGTAATGATGACGCCTGGCAAGAACCAAGGCGACATGATGTGGTGGCGGCGCCCGCTTCCCCCTAGAGTTCAGAGCCTGCAACATCCCTGAATCAGCTCGAGGAGCAGGGGGATGCCGGGTACACCGGTATACTCCTGCATTACTTAATGTAGGGGCCTTAATAATTATAGAATAGGGTTTTGGGGCCCTTTATACTATACTTTACAACAAGGAACCCCCCCAAAATAGTGTTGGTAATTATTTAAGCCCCTGTTTTAGGCGGTGTAGGAGTCTCTGAGACAAAATGGCCTGCGAGGGCCGCCATGTGCAGAGGCCGAAAGCCGCGAGCGTCTTGATTTCTTCCCAGGTTGGGTCCTTACTTCCCAGATACCCATGGGGTGAAAAGCTCAAACTTTCCCTGTATGACGGCCTTCTCAGAAACCCAAAAGCCCAAAAGTTAAGAATTCAAACTTCCAGAATATAACTAGCTACCTTAAGAACAAGAAGTTGACAAGCTCCAACCTTCTAGACTATGACCACCTTACAAAGAGCCCCACAGGTTGAACAAATTGCTTTCGGGACCCCTAAATACCCTAAACCCGGAATAGAACCCTTCTAGATGCCTTTATAGGAACCGTCTTAGGGACCCTTTTAGGAACCCTAGCCGAAAGACCCCTGAGGCTGAGGGTCTCGATCGCAGCACTTTGCGGAGGACTTCTTTTCGGCCCCCTTCGGCCGAGAAATGGGCCAGATCGGAAGGGAGAGACACTTTCCTCAGCTTTGGATCTGTGGGTTTAGGGTGGGGGGTGGCGTAAAGGAATTTGGGATGTAGGGTTTAGGGTAGGATTCAAATGTTGTAGGCCCCCAAAGAGGGCAGAAGCATACAGGCTTTTCCTTGCGAGAAGCCCGCCCCCCCCGCATTGAAGACAAAGTGTACTCGGGTAACTGTCAGGTATCATCAGCTCTTGGACCAGGGCAGGGCTGTTGGCTTTGACGGCAAGGTGAATGGGGAGCAAGCCCCTCTTTTCCTTGACCTGGCGGCAGCCTCTTTTCATCAAAGCTTTCGTTACCTCCATGTGACCTCAGTGCTGGTTTAGAGTGTCTTGTGGTTGGCCTTGCATTCCTTGTAGAATCCTAACAAAGCGCTACAGAACCCCCAAAAAGAGCTTTACAAAATCCCTTAAACAAGGGCTTCATATAAACCTACAAAAGCCCTTCACAAGACTCCTGCAACTCGCAAAAAACAAGGCCACGGGACCCATGGCGGCCGCAAAATGCATGGCTGTGAAGCCCTCCGTCTTGGAGATCGATTCCAGCCCGGCCCGGCGACCTTTGGGCTCTTTGGGCTTTTTTGGGGTTTAGGATTTTAAGATTTTATGGTTTTAGGATTTTAAGGTTTTGAGGGGTTTAAGGGTTTAGGATTTTAAGGCTTTAGGGTTTTAGGGCTTTAGGGCATTTAGGGTTTTAGGGCCATGGCCCCGTGGCCTTTGCGGGAGTTTCAGAGCCTGGGGATGTGAGGCTTTCGGTTTCTTGGGAGTTTTAGTGGCTTAGGAGTTTGAGGGTTTTTTAGGGTCTGAACCCTAAACCCTAAACCCCTAAAGGTTCTGGTACGAACATGTACCAAGTTACTAAGCCACTAAGCTTCTAGGAAGTAGGCTCCTAAACCCTAAGACCCTTCTCAAGAACTCCGAAGCCTTAAACCCTAAACACCTGTCACCCTAAACCCCTTAAGCCTCTATCACCCTAAACCCTAAACCCTAAACTTGAATCCCGATTTCACGAGCCCCGCACCTAAGAGGAAGTCCACGGCCTCCGCATGGCCGGCCTTGGCAAGGATGTGAAGGCTTTTCAAATCTTAGGGCTTTAGGATTTTAGGGGTTATGCAGCGGTTTAGGGCGTGCAAGGGTTTATAGGGCTCATAAGGGTTTAAGGTTTATAAGCGCTCCAGGTGTATAGATGGGTCCGCGCCTTGGCTGCGAAGTGGAGGGGCTGCGCCCCCTCCGGTCCAAAAGGCTCGGACACATCCGGCCTCAAACGGCAACGGGGAGAAGCGCTATATTAAACCCTAAACCCTATACAACCGTAATACACCCCAAGATATGTCCTACTTCTAGGCCATCCTGCTCTCGTTCATGTGCTCGAGGTTTAGGATTTCGAGTTTGTTCTTTTGTTGTCTGTCTCTGTGTGTGTGTGTTTCTGTGTTTCAGGATTAAGCTGGACTTCTTGGAGTGAGCGAGCCACCTTCGGGAGGCCTTTAGCTTTTTGCCTCTCAAACTGCGCCAGGCCCCTTGACTGAAACCTAGCAACCCCTAAAAACCGTAAATTAACCTACCACCCAAAAAGTACTAACCCCTGTTTGAAAACCCTAGACCATCAAGCCGTAAATGCATGCATGCTACAAACCAACAACTGACAGCATTCAGCCCGCTCAACAGGGCCGTGGTTTCGTAGCCAAAGAAAAGGATCTTGATCATGCGTTGCCTCTTAAACAAAATAGCGAGAAGCCTTAAGAATGCAAGATGTTCTGTTCAGACCAACCCGCGGATTCCTTCGCAACATCTGCAGAGCCCAGATTCCACAAAAGGGACTCCAATCCTTAGGCTGGAGGGTTTGGGGATGGGGTTAGGGGGGCTGGTATATTCCATATGGATAATGAAGGATGTATATCATCAACAGCATCGACATTGGGGTGTAAGAGGGCTTAGGGTTGAAACCCTTAACCTAACAATCGCCAAATTGAGTCGAAGGAGCGCAATTTCCATATTCAAGACAAACTCTGCCAGGCTGGTGTGGCCTTGCCTCCGCATGTTTAAGGGTCTTAGCACCTACGGCTCCACAGTTTAGGAGCTTAGGGTTTGGGAGCTTCGGAAAACAAGGGGTCCTAGCAAAGGTGATTACTCTACATTCTCCACATTAAGGCGTTCTGCTGGCATCTCCGGATTCGGCGTTTACGGCTTGGGAGCATTGCGGTGTCTCGCACATTGTCATGAGCGGGATTTCAGGAGACATCTACATGGAATACAGAAGCTTTTCCAACATGCACAATTCGGGTTTAGTGTTGTAGGGTTCAAGGTTTGTTGGGTTAACGTTCAGGGGAAAGGGGCAAAGACAAACTGCTGCCTTTCGGAGGGGGGGGGGTTGACTTCTTCCAGGAAGCCCTCGGCTCAACAACGACCTGATTCGGGGGAGCTCCTGAACCCTAAACCGAGAAGTCTGCTGTCGCAACATGTAGCAACGAGCAAACCACAGGTGGAGCTTTCATACGGTTTTGTATACTCCATAACAGCGGCATTTGGGAGTGCCTCGCTTTCTAAGGTTCTGCTGAACCCAAGGCTCCGAATTCTCTTCTTTACACCTTACACCAGTGCACAAGACTTGCGTGAACGCAATCCCCCGCACCGCGCTGGCAACCCCTGAACCCCATACCATCTGTCTGAACTTAAGATCCTGACGAGAAACCATCAAGCCCCGGAAAATCCTTCCAAACTTAACCGCCCATCTGCTCCAAGGCGCAGAGAACTTACAAAGCAGGTTGTACTAGAGGCGATAATTGGGATAATCTCATTTGGCTTAGAGGACTCATGCATACCCTGCTTACAGTACTGAGCCCACTGAACTCACAAAAGCCCGCAGGCCCAACACACCCCAAGCCCTAGACTCTAAATTCCCGAACCCTAAACCCTAAACCGCCGAAAGCCAAAATCCAGCCAAGGCGACATCACAGCCCGATGGAGCAGCCCCTTTGGCAGATCGGGGTCTCTGGTCGGCATTGCTCGGAGGAGCAGCTCCTCTTTAGGGCTTAGAGCTCTTAGGGCTGAAAGGCTTAGGGCTTAGGGTTTAGGTGTTTAGGGTGTTTCGGGTTTAGGGCTTTTAGGGCTTAGGGGGTTTTAGGGTTGAAAGGCTTAGGGCTTGGGGTTTAGGTGTTTCGGGGGCTGCCTGCCTGACCATAGGGTTTACAGGGTTCAGGATCTTTTCACGCTGCTTTTTTGAGCATCAGTGTTCGGTGTCTCGAGGTTTACATACTTGGAGGCTCATTGGACTTAGTAAGTACTAAGTACAGGTTGTTATAAGCACCTCAACTGGGATTCCGGGATTATAAATAAAACCCTAAACCTTAAACCCTAAACCCTAATTATAATTGAGTACACTTTACGCAGGTTTGGGCGGTGTAGGGTTGCTGCGGGCTCCAGCCTTTCAGGACTGTTGCTCTAGAATAACTTGGTGGAGCTCATTGGGCTTAGGGTTTAGAGTTTAGGGGGTTTAGGGGGGTTAGGGTAGTTTTATGTCTCGAGAGATTTGAACCCTCATGTAACATGGCACAGCCATCAAATGCCAAAACTTGTCGGGCTGTCCAGGACTTGCTGATGCCCGTGAAGAGCTGCGACATGCGACGGCTGTAAGGATTCTCCTCGGCAGCCGCGACCGTCACTGCGTTCACAAGTCAACAGAAGCTTTTGGCTTGCTGTGCTTCGGGCTGTGTGTATGGCCGGCTGAGGTTTACTGCGGGGCCCGTAAAAATGTCCGGACTGACCCAGGATCCAAAAAGAGGCCTGGAACAGACCACAGAATACCCCGAACGTGCGTTGAAACAAACAGTAACAAGAAGCAAAAAATCTATGGACAGGACCTGATTCTGAGCAATCACTAGAATGCAGCTAGCCCGGGCGGCCATCCGTTGCCGTCACGTCCGCCTTTGCACTCAGCAGCTGCCGGACCAGGGTGGTGTCACCCCAAACCTGGGATTCAGGCCCGGTACTTCAGAGACCAAAGCTGCAGAGTCACGGCTGGCATCTTAAGACAGAAACCGTTCACCCAACAGGGCGATTGAGAGTCCAGGCATTTCAGGAGTATGCGCGCTACACCAAAACGGCCACTAAATATATACTTAAAAAAACTCCATGAGCCCATGAAGCGGAGCCCCTGCAAACACAACACCTTAAGCCTTGAATCACACCATGTATAGACCCGGAAGTGAGTACCACTCATATTCAATCTCCACGGTGAGTGTCAGGCAGCAGCTGCCTCGTGAAGAGCGGTCCGGCCATTCGCCGACGCAGCGTCCGTCGGATGCCTGGCTAGAGCATGGGTTAGGGAGGGTTCGGGTTTGAGAACCGTGGCCCTTTCTGTAGGGTTTAGGGGTCTAGGTTTGGGCTCCAAAGATTTAGGGGTTTCTGAAAAGCAATGGAATCGGTGATTCGTAGTCTAGGGTTTGCCCTGTGGCGCGGGGCTCCCACACTCGGCTTGAAGCCTCGCCAAGGTTTCGAGGTTTGGCGAATTCACGCTGCACACTATAGCTTTCTGCGGGCTACGTATGCATGCATGCATTTGCGGCTCAGACCGGCTGTTGCCATCTTGCAACTTGCCTGACCTTCGAGGATCAGAGAGAAGTTCTGCATCAATACAGCTGTTACCAACCATGTGCCGCAGCATATTCTGAAATTGCTGCAATTCAAGATGCTCCCGGTTCGTGAAAGGATTACAAAAAAAGGAGTTGCATCAACGCAGCTGCCACATTGATTGAACTCAGGCCATTAGACTCATGAGACACACCCATTGCACAATTGCTCATGCCCAATACAAAACAAGCGACAACCCGATTCAGGCTTCCTCTCTCTCTGTATTTACGTGTACCAACAGCCAAAACCAAGGCCTGAGTCTAACCCTCGCTCTTTCTGCGGCCTGGCCAAAGCTTCGGCCAGTTCCGTGGTGTTGCCCGCATGCACCGCCTGAGATGTGGAAGTGTAGTTGCCGAATAGGATCCTAGGAGGTCACCCCAAAAAGGAACCTCAGCCATTTAGATATTTAGAATCCTAAGTGTAGTTGTCGAATCATCGGGACGACATGGCTGAACTGACTCTTTGCTGAGAAGGAAACTTCCAGAGAAGCAGCCGTTCATCGCGCTCGGTGGCCAGTGCTTTAGGCTGGCTTACTTATTTACTTACTTACTTACTTACTTACTTTCTTTCTTTCTTACTTAAATTAACTTAACTGTACTTTACTTACTTTACTTACGTACTTACCTACCTACTTACTTACTCACTCACTCACTCCCTTACTTACCTACTTACCTACTTACCTACTTACTTACTTGCTTAATTACTTACTTACTTACTTCTTACTTACTTACTTACTTACTTACTTACTTACTTACTTACTTACTTACTTACTTACTTACTTACTTACGTACTTACTTACTTACTTACGTACTTACTTACTTACTTACTTACTTACTTACTTACTTACTTACTTACTGACTTACTGACTTACTGACTTACTGACTTACTGACTTACTGACTTACTGACTTACTGACTTACT